GTGTGTGTGTGTGTGTGTGTGTGTGTGTGTGTGTGTGTGTGTGTGGGGGCGCATATGCAGTGTACAGTGTTTCTGCTGGTAACATTTCTCTGTGGCGACCCACGACACCAAAATCTTCGCTGACCTGACAAAAAAAATAAAATATTCAACCAACCAGTTATCTAATCCAACACCTTGGTGACTCGCTCGCGAAGACCGATTCCCGCCCCCACCCCCCTGCACACATTATGGAATTCACCTGGTTAACGGCAGTAATGAGCTATGTCGCACTGTCATTTAGCAGATGCTCTTAAAAAGCGCTAATAAAATGGGCTTATTTCAGTGCGCAGGCTGAAACCCGAGTATTTACCGTTGTTGTGGGGGGGAAACTGAGCAAAACAGTAAAGTCTAGCCGTTAATCTATTCCCTGGTGACCTAGTAACATTAGTGGTAACTTTCTGACCCCTCCCCCCCCCCCCCTCGTGTGTGTGATGACCCCATAAGTATCCGTTAAGGTTGCCCTCACACCAATGCCAACAGCGGCACCCATCACTGAGAATGGGGGTGCAGCTTGTCCCGCCCCCCCCCCATGTTGGGATGGGGTGCTGAGGGGTGATTTGCATAGTAATTGCATTGTGCCCCCGGCAACAGCAAAAAAGGGCGTCGGGATGATTTGTCTGAAATTGTAATGGACAATTTTTTAATCATCATTCCCGCCCCCCCACCCCAGACACTGTCTCCATCGTCTTTGCGACATTCTCTGGTTGGCCGGTTGTCAGGCCGCAGTAGCCAATCGGAGTGCTTCTCCTCGGGAGCGTCACACGGTGATGAGCGAATGGCAAACGCGTGTCTGTGGGGGGGGGGGGTCCTTCCACCGTTTGGTCACTTGGGCCTGTCCCGGGAAGTGACGTCACGCCCCCCTGCCCCCCCAGGTACTGGGCCGGGAGGTCTACACCTCGAACAACCAGCTGGGCGGAATCCAGATCATGCACAACAACGGTGTGACGCACAGCACGGTCTGCGACGACTTCGAGGGCGTCTACACCCTGTTGCAGTGGCTCTCCTACATGCCTCGGGTGAGCCCCCCCCACATCCCCCCCCCCGACCCGGCGCCCACTCTGCATTCCCCCCCGCTGACCCTCCCCTCTCCCTCACAGTGCACCTCCAGCCCTGTGCCCATCCTCGACTCCAAGGACCCCATCGACCGACCCGTGGAGTTTGTGCCCACCAAGGCCCCGTACGACCCACGCTGGATGCTGGCGGGACGACCCAGTCAGAGTGAGTTCCTGGGACGTGGTTCCTTGACCCCAAGCTGTCCCGGGCCCCCGGCCAGTTCCCCTCGAACCGGAACGTAGTAGCTGAGCTGTTCTGCCTCATTCCTATGGTCTTATGGGTATTTTTTGTGGCCTCTCAGATGCGTCTGAGCGCGTGCAGGACTCGGCAGGTTAGGAGGCTGTGCCTGTGATCGGAAGGTCACTGGTTCAAATCCCAGTCGGCGTGGTCAATGTCTCCCCCGATCAGGACTCTTAACCCCAGTAGCTCCAGGAACTGTGTGACTCTGCTTTTCCTCAAAAATGTATGCCGGGTTGGATAAAAGCGTTTGCTAAATAAAATGTAAATGTCTCCCTGCAGACCCCAAGGGCCAGTGGGTGAGCGGCTTCTTCGACTACGGCTCCTTCCAGGAGATCATGCAGCCGTGGGCCCAGAGCGTGGTGGTGGGCCGGGCCAGGTGAGCCCCCTGCTGGCTGAGGGGGGTGTGTGCGCACACAACCCAAACGGCACTCGGAGTTGACTGTGTTCTCTTCTGTCGTCCGGTCGCAGGCTCGGGGGGATACCCATTGGTGTGGTCGCCGTAGAAACCAGGACTGTGGAGCTGTCGATCCCAGCAGATCCTGCTAACCTGGACTCTGAGGCTAAGGTAACATTTGGTCCCCACAATGTAATATATGCATCAACACACACACAAACACGCAGTAACTCCCTCTCTCTCAGAATAGAGCAGAATTGAATGCAGGACCAGCTTTTTAAGTCATTATAAAATCAAGAATTGTTTTTGATTTTAACTTTTTATAAGCTAATGAATGCAATTAATACATTTTAATACATGTGAATCTGAATGGTGTTACAATAATACTCTGTGCTCAGCGCACAATGACTTCCTTATCTACAATTTACAGTGATTTTCCATATTCACATTTAGTTTGTCTCTGGTCTCTCTCTCTCTCTTCTCTCTCTTCTCTCTCTCTTCTCTCTCTTCTCTCCGCCTCCCTCCCTCCCTCCCTTTCTGCCCCCCCCAGATCATACAGCAGGCCGGCCAGGTCTGGTTCCCCGACTCGGCCTTCAAGACGGCTCAGGCCATCAAGGACCTGAACCGCGAGGGTCTTCCGCTCATGGTGTTTGCCAACTGGCGGGGCTTCTCCGGCGGCATGAAAGGTCCGTCCCTCTCTGCTCGCCTGTTAGCCTGCCTGTCTCAGTAAGGCCGCTCCAGTAACCGCGACTGCGTCTGCGAACAGACATGTATGACCAGGTGCTGAAGTTCGGCGCGTACATCGTGGACGGGCTCCGAGAGTACCTCCAGCCGGTTCTGGTCTACATTCCGCCGCAGGCCGAGCTCCGCGGGGGCTCCTGGGTGGTCATCGATCCCACCATCAACCAGCGACACATGGAGATGTACGCCGACAAGGACAGCCGGTAAGACTCCACGTGGTGTGGGTCGCCGTAGGGGATGGGTTCACGTCCACGTGGGCTTTGATCCCATGGGCGCTTGCGTTTCCCTTCCAGAGGTGGCGTCCTGGAGCCCGAGGGGACTGTGGAAATCAAGTTCCGCAGGAAGGATCTGGTGAAGACTATGAGGAGGGTGGATCCGGTCTACATGGGGCTGGCCGAGAAGCTGGGTGAGTCTGCTGGCCCCAGGATTCCCGCTGGGGTTGGGGGGTGGGGGGGGAGGGCTCGACTTTGAGCAGGTACTTCTGTTTGGTGTTGGCCTGGAATCTGATTGTAGACCCTGCCCCTGGCCAGGAACTCCGGAGCTAAGTCCCGCAGAGCGCAAGGCGCTGGAGACTGAGCTGAAGGAGCGGGAGGAGTTCCTACTGCCTATCTACCACCAGGTGGCAGTGCAGTTTGCGGATCTCCATGACACGCCAGGACGTATGCAGGAGAAGGGTGTCATCACGGTGAGTCCCTCATCTCCCACGTGTCTCCCGTTTGCGCTGTCTGTGTCCGTCTCTGTCTGCTCAGGCCTGGGACCCTGTCGTTGTGCTTGACTGCTGCGCATCCTCATTCCCAGGATGTGCTGGAGTGGAGAACCTCCCGGCAGTTCTTCTACTGGCGCCTACGCCGCCTCCTGCTGGAGGACTTGGTGAAGCAGAAGATCCAGGCATCCAACAACGAGCTGACGGACGGGCAGGTTCAGGCCATGCTGCGGCGCTGGTTTGTGGAGGCGGAGGGCACGGTCAAGGTGAGCACCATGCAGAACCCCCCCCCGACGGATGACCTTTATTGCCTCACGTTAATCAGTGCCCCCCCCCCCCATCATGGCCACCTTGATACCATCTTCAGCTTCCTAATTAAAAACAGACGTGTTACAGTGACTAATGGCCGTGTTAAGCACCGCGCTGTCAACCTCATTAACGTTCCTTAGCAGCTGGGTGGGGAGGGGTCTATTTGGGGTCAGAGGTCATTCACCATGAATATACAGGTTGGGTTCTGGGTGTCAGATGAGGGGTGGGGCTACCGGGGCATTGGCTCTAGCTGAAAGCTGATTGGTCACCAGGGTGTCCCCTTCACCATCACTCACTGATTTACAGCATGTCATTGTCCAATGGTAATGTTGGCCTCTCCTTATTAAATACAGCCTCTTTTATGCCCCCCACCTTAAAGAATTCTGGAATAGCCCCTGGTAACGTGCATAAGTGGTCATTTGCTCCTGTCTTCACACCATTCCTGATGCACGGCCATAGTCATGCTTGAGGTTCATCGCCTTCATGGTCCAACTGCAGATGAGTGACAGGTTGCTTTGCCGCCCCCCCCCCCACAGGCTTATCTGTGGGACAACAACGAGATGGTTGTGGAGTGGCTGGTGAGACAGCTTACGGAGGAGGAGGGGGCACGCTCCATCATCGACGAGAACATCAAGTACATCCGGCGTGACCACATCCTCAAGCAGATCCGCAGGTGAGCGCCCCCAGCTGGCCATGCAGGTCACGAAATTAGCCAAACGCTGGAAATGGTATTAACGGTAAGGGCTGAGATGAAGTGACCCCATCTGTGGTCCCCCCCCTGTCATTCTATCTCAGCTTGGTACAGACCAACCCGGAGGTGGCCATGGATTCCATCGTCTACATGACCCAGCACATCTCCCCTACCCAGCGTGCGGAGGTGGTCCGGATTCTGACCACCATGGACACCCCGGCCTCCTCCTAGAGACAGCCTTCACCACCCGCACATGCACGTGGTGTTCGGAAACTGAGGCTACAGGAGCCAAAATGGCGTCCACAGGAGGGCCGGAAGAGCCAGCATGGCGCACTAATGGGTATACGTTTTATTGCCCTGGTTTCGTCTGCTAGCAGTGATCCCGGTTTTAGTGGCTGTACTGTTCCAGGGGGCTCGACTTCCCTTTCAGCCTAGAATACTGTGTACATTTAAGGACAGTGTGTCGTGTCGTTAGTGTTTATTTATGTGCACTTAGCAGTCAAGCGTCAAGCACCTTCTCTGTGATTTTAACAATGGGAATTCCTGAAATAAACTAAAGACTAACAGTTGTTCTGGTTTCCGTGTGTCTATCTGCGTCCACATCCACATCCCACCGGCAACGGTCGCAGGCAGATGGGTGATATCACCAGCGCAGCTAGAGTTCTGTAATTATTTTTATTTACCCGTATGTCCACTAGATGGCACTTTTGTACATGGACCGTTACCAGGCAGCTACAACACACCTAATGGCACGGTTACCCACCTGGGCACAACTGGCATCCATTCATTTCTGATAGCCTGCTATACCTGTGTTTTCTACAAATTCCATGAGGTTGGGGTGGGGGCTGTGTTACCCCTCACATGGGCGAGAGGACCAGAGGGACAGCTTATTTAATGCTGGGATACGGAGACCTATCACCCAGGACCTGGGTTTTATTATTGCAGATCGTCCCAGACTTGTGCGAATTACGACGACTGGCATGTATGACTAAAGTTAATGCATTTGTTAAAATGCATCTTGGGCAGACGTACAGCCTAGCGTTCACTTCGTGCTGTGCAATAGTCATCACGGGAAAGTACTGTGCTGTACGGCCGAGTGACCATCCCAGCCTCGCACGCATCTCCCAGTCTCAGCCTCGCGCGCATCTCCCAGTCTCAGTCTCACACCCAAAAGTCAGTGCAATTAAGCTATTCTGACATACGTCCATTTTGAAGTAGGACGTGTCAGTCGGAATGCAACCCAATCATATGTCAGGGACAGTCTGCATTTAGAAAAAAGAAAGAACCCCCCCCCCCCCCCACCCACCCATTGTAAGCCTTTCTGAGACACCACAGCATCAGCCTCTTTGGGCCCTCCCAGGCTACCGCATCTCCATGGGCACGATGATGGAGGCTCTAATGGGCGACCCCTCCCCCCGCACAGCGATTGGTCCATCCTGATGCCACGCCGTGGTGCGTAAACACGCTCCGAGTCTGGCATTATCGCAGCTACAGATGGCGGCGGTCTGCAGAGCGGCCAGCGTCAAAGCCTGCCTCTCCTCATATCACCCGGAGGAGCGGCATCCAGGAGACTCGCTCTACATTAATCATCTGCAGCATTTAATTCCCTGGCAATAAATATGCAAATGTGGGGGCGTGACCAGGCTCTGCTCATCACAAGACAAGCTCACTGGAGTCTGTCGAAAAGGCGTGGCAGTTCCTGCGGGGGGGTTGTTTATCCTGAACGTTGCAGATGATGACTTACAACCATCCCCAGTCACGAGATAAAGATATCAGAAGGGGGGGGAGGGGGTCCACCATCATCCATCATATATTTCACACCAGTAGGTTGTGGGGTTAAATCCCATCATGACATATCCAGGCACGTCTAATCAACTTTCTACACAAAAACCATCCTCCCATTATAAAGACCTCCAGCATCTCTTCACAGTCATGGGTAGCTCTGCATCCTACCCATAATGCTCTGCATCAACACGCTTACTGTCAGACCATTATGTCCATGTAGTGTCTTTAGAGGCTATACTTTGGACACTGGAATCACTAAAGTCTGACTGGAAACGTACGGTAAAGGTTGTTCTCACTTTTAAAGTATAAATACGCAAAATGGGGCCATGTCTGACCATAAAATACCATCAAGGCTCTGACGTTTTCGTTTTAAAGCAGTAAGACACAGAATAGGGCTTTATGGTTTAAAGAATGTGTGTTTTGATTTTATTAGCTTGCATTTTCATTTCACAAAAATAAACCTGTTAGCCTAAAGGTGCTACATAAAAAGGGCATGAGTCTTCCTCAGGCTACAAAATTCAAAGGGAATATTTGTCCCAAAAATTCAAAATGTGCATTTTGACAGCATCTCTGCTATTTTGTATCTCTGTGTGCCTCTTGTCTCAATCTGTCACAGACCTGCAGCAAAGGCCATTGCAGGAATGCGATGACAAATGATAAGAATGTAAATAGAACATACATAATTAAGTGAAGAGTCCGACGGCGGGTTGTGGGTGCGAAGCCCTGCAGATCACATGATCTTGTTTTGCACTTTCTTTGCTGGTCAATGTTACTTAACTTAAAAAAAACAACAACATTTTAATACTTAAACATTTAAAATAATAGACCTGTCTCAGAAATGGGACAGAAATAAATAATCCTGACACAGAAATCCACCAGTAAATAAATATGATAAAATCACAGAGATAGACAGGGGGTGGGCTTTTGTAGCTGGGTTCTCTCTCAGTGCAGAGATCTGACCCCCCTGCTGGCTACCAGACAGTGCCTTCGCTCATCTCTGAGGGTGGGGGGAGCAGGTGAGCACCGTAGCCGCCGGCGCCTCCGATGGACAGCGAGGTGAACAAGGGGCTGGAGCCATAGGCGTCCGAGGAGGTGTGGAGGGGAGGTTCTGGGCTGGGGGAGCAGCCCGGCTCGTGGGACAGGAGGTCCGAGAAGCGCTGGGGCTCCTCCGAGGCATGCTGTCCTGGCAGGGGGGGTTCTGGGAGGGGGCCCGGGGAAGGAGCGAAGCCTGGGTCAGCCGGCACCAGGGTCTGCGTGGGGGGGCGAGCGGGGGGAAAGTAGTCAAAGCTGCCACCAGGACTGTAGTAGTCATTCCGGAAATCTGGGGGGGGGGGAACAAATCACGGTGTCACTAAAAGCAGCACGCCCCCTAGTGAGCACCAGCCAGAACAGGCCTGGACTACTGATGACCAGGGAGGGGGTCTGACTGACCCCGCACACAAGGCAACTATACCTGCGGCTGCCTTAAAATCCACTCGTGGAAAAAAATCACAACACAGACCACAAGCCCTGTCGTGTTTGTCCAAAGTTGCAGTGAAAATCCGACATCAGATTCCACAACACCATGACCTCTGTGCTTTTCCTTTTCATACTTGTTTCTGCCATTTTCCCCACATTCCAGCAGAGCGCCACCACCTGGGTCACGCTGTAAGTTACAAGAATATTGGACTGAAGGTGGCCGTGCCCTCTCAGACACCGAACTCGACTGAAAATAATACATCATTTTGGACACGGAGACAAGTAACCATCCCCCACGCGACGCGTCTCGCCAAACTTACTCACAGAACCCAGCAGTATTAGATACGAATCGTTTTAAGGAGCGTTATGGCTGAAAAGCTTTTTACTCTGTAATTCACATATGCGACTTATTTCACAGGCAGAAATGTTCATTACAGCAGGCGGTGAACACAAGATATCACAGATACACGGGGACGCGGAAGCTGCTGAACATTTAATTATGAAAAGAATATGATATAAAATAGCGGGATTTCATATTTGTCAGCGACGCCCACCTCCGTAGACTGAAAAGCGGCCGGCCGGCATTAACTCCCCCGGCTGCATGCGCTCCGTCCTCATCCTCCTCGGGCTCCGGAGGAAGGCGTGTCTCCGTGCTCCCAGGGCGCTCAGCTGCTTCATCCGCCGCTCTTTGGACCGCCGGTTCTGGAACCAGACCTGCCGAGAAGGAGGGCGCGTAAACGGACCGCCTCGCATCCACAGCCGGTTCAGACGCCGAAATCACGGGACATGTGTCTCACTTATGGGGGGCCATGTACGCAAGTTGGATGCCGAGTCAGGGACATGATTTATAACATTGTGGGACATTATTGAACTCAGCGTCAAATTTAGGAGCATTTAACACACAAAACAGACTATTTAATAAAGCATTGTAACAAATCAATACTGTAAAATAATGTTAAAATTGTGTATCGTAATAATTATGGTACATCATGGTCTTTTGTAATAATGATGAAAATCACAAAACATTAACCGAACCGATACGTTAAGTTAGGAAAAGTCCGGTTGGGAAAGACCTTTCAACTTCACGACTCCATAACATCAAGTAATTAAAAGATATTCATTAAAAGTCGGCGGTAATGGATTCCTTCAAATCATAAACACTCGAGTTACGTATTCACAATAAGACGCGAAACTAAATTTGTTTTTAAAAATGTTATATTATATTTTAATATGGGTCTAATGTATTCAAAATTCAAAAAACGAATGATAAAATTACGACCCTTTTAAAATTATACTACGTAAGCCTTTTAGGGGTCTTAATAAATACAAATGCAACTACTGCATTGTTGCATGCATGCATAATAGACTTTTGCATTTACATATAGGACCACTAAAATTAAATGCAAATCCATTAACGCTTCGTGATTTTCTTCATAATTACGAACTTGCGCGTTCATGAGTTGCCCGCAGTATTTCTCCATTTAATAAAAGCGCGATTCCGGACCTGGATGACGCGCATGTTGAGGCCGGTCTCCTGCGCCAGCTGCTCCCTGATGTGCCTCGTCGGCTTCGGCGTGGATGCGAAAGCGGCTTTCAGCGTCTCCAGCTGCTTAGCCTTGATGGTGGTCCGCGGACCGCGGCGCTTCCCGCTCAGGCTCGGCTCCTCCGGCTCGGTGCTCGCTGCCTCTTTGTCCGATAGCGGCCCGACCTCTACGTCTTTGCCGTCGTCCTGAGCGTCTTGGGAATCAGGTGATAAACTGGGATCGCTGGACGTGGTAACTGCTCAAAAAACAAGCAAATAAAGTTATATTGATTACGTTGTGTTCGATTTTATTAAATGAAAAATGTAATGAAAATGTATTGGAAAGGTAAAATTCTTCACCAACGTAATAATTATTAACACAAAATGAGCTTGGATCTTTTTTTAAATATGCAGATACAAAACATTACCCTCATAATTATCAAAATCAATATTAAAAACTGATTATTTTAATTACACGACCTAGACATATATAAATAAAATCACAATTCAATATTTTTCAATTCCATGCACAGGTTTTGCGTTTTCATTTGTATGCATATAATCAATTCAGGATAAATTAGATTTTTTTCATACATTATTTTCTCGAAATATCTATTTTTTTTCTAAAAAATAAATAAAGAATTAGGACACATTTAAAATATTGTTCGTGCTTAAGGCAGCATAACTAGATAAAAAATGTAAACGCCTTACACCTCTACAGAAACACCTATAGACCTACAGGTTCTTGGCCAATATATTAACATTAAAAAGAAATATAGTTCTATCTTTATAACGTGTACAGCA